GGCAGAAAATCCCAGATGGGTCCCCAAATTTGTGAGAAATGTTGTCTATACTGACAAACGCTCAAGTAATCCAGTCTGTACTCATTTTAGTGAGAGTGAGATTTTCTTTATTTGATTATGCAAAATGTGCACCTAGCCCCTTAAACAAGGACACAGGCCCACAAGGCCTCCCTCCTCTAGTTCCAGTTCCCCATATACATTTCTATGGCATGTCCCATTTTCCTTCCTCCCCAGAGAAGCCAAAATGGCTTGCCCATTGTCTTAATGGCTGTGTTCTTTAAATCTCCTAGTCCTAGAGCAGTCAGGTTAAGTAGCCCTCCCTGTACGTAAATAACCATCTCTTTGTCAGGCTCATCTCCTGAATTCCTGAAGATGGACCACACCCACGAGAGTTACTTCTCACACCCTTTTAGCAAATCCAGTCAATGATAGGTTGAAGACACAGCCAGTAGAGTTTTAGGGATGAAAACAGTGAGTGACAGTAAGTTCTTGTCTCTTAACTAATATTTGACTAAAGCCAAGTTAAAATCACTCATATAGCTGTATATATATATATTATGTGACCTTCAGTGGTGCACAGATGCATAGAAGAGCTCTGGCTATTGACAGTGGACAATGACAGACCCTAGCTTTGGTCCTAAAGGTAATGTCTTTCAGGCACAAGTGGACCTTTATCTATATGGTTGTCGGAACCTGTCACTCCTGTGGTACCCTGCTTAGGTCATCATCTTTTTGAGTGTCCAGTAGAGCGAGCTCCCTGTGCTCAGTTGGATTGCTTGGTCCAGTGGTTCAACCTTGGTGAACTCTTATGTGTCATTGTTTACCCTTGTTTTGATTCACTAATTATTTTTGGTTTCTAGTTAGCGTTGAAATAATGTTACAATCTGAACTTAATAGATTACTGACCTGGTGGCTTTTCTCTTCCTTTTCCTCTTCTCCAGGAATCAGTTGCTTCAGCTCATGGAGAACAATAAGCATCTGCTGACTGTTGATGGCTGTTTGTTCCGCTCTTGGTTCAGTTTGCTGCCTCTACGTGACCTGTCCAACTATATGAGCACCTTGATAGAATACCTCATCACTTCCCCTGCTGGTTTCCTGGATTGCGTTCTAGGGGTTTACTACCGGCTTCGGGAATTTAAGGAAATCTCGAACAGAAATCATGAGGTTTGTCGTCTGCAAGGGTTTGTTTAGCCAAAGCAATCTGAAAACCAAACATCCAGAAATGTAATTCTCTTTTTTTCTGAAAAGTTGACAGAGTGAAGTACTTAGAAACAAGAGGGGCTCCAGACAGAGGTCATCCTATGTAGGGCTAAAGGATTGATCTGATCGAGTTCATTTTATTTCAGTAAATAAAGTCCAATAAAATAAGCAGGAGCCACCGAATTGACTCAGACTCATGGTTGGTCCCATGCGTGTCAGAGAAGTCTGCTCCATGGGGTTTTCAGTGGGGGGGTTTTCAGAAGCAGTTTGCCAGTCTTTTATTCTGAGACATCTCTGCGTGGACTTCCTCCAACCTTCTGGTTAATAACCAAGTGCTTAGCCATTTGCATCATTTAGGCACTGCAATGAAATATTAAACTACTGTTACTTAGGATTGTGCAACAGTACGCAAAGTTACTGTGAGTGCTGATATACCGTATTTTCCAGAATATGATGCACCCTTGGAAATAACTGGTAGCGTAGTGGTTACGAATCGGGCTGCGAACCTTAAGGTCAGCGGTTCGAAACTACTAGCTGCTCCGCGGGAGAAAGATGAGGCTTTCTACTCCCGTAAGGATTTATACCCTCGGAAACCCTGTACAGGGTCGCTATGGGTCGGAACCGACTCGACGGCACTTAACAACAACAACAACATACACATAGATAGCACACAGTGTGCACGGTGCTCGTAGGGAGCGACTGCATGGGGTGAGGGTGCATTTTGAAGGAAAAAAGTTTAATGTGTGTTTTATGTGTACAAAAGTGTGGCATTTTGTAATTGTTGCTTTTTCTTCTTTCACACTTCTGGGTGAAGAAAATGGTATAATTTTAAACCTGCAATTTTATTTGCCAAAGTTCTTAGCTTACTGCTTAGTTGTTAGCATTGTTGTTAGGAGCTGTCGAGTCGGCTCAGACTCACAGTGACCCTATAAACAACGGATGGAAACACTGCTCAGTCCTGTGTCGTCCTCACAGTTGTTGCGTGTGAGTCTGGTGTTGGGTCATTGTTGCAGTCCATCTTGTTAAGGGTCTTCGTCTGTTTCATTGATCCCCTGTTTTACCAAGCATGGTGTCCTTCTCCAGAGACTGTTCCTTACATGAGACGAAGTCTCGCCATCCTGGCTTCTGAGGAGCATCTTGTCCCGACTTCTTCAGAGACAAATTTGTTTGTTCTCCTGGAAGTCCATGTATTGCCAGTGTTCTTAGCCATAATTCAAGTGCATTATTTCTTTCCTTGCCTTCATTACTCATTGCCCAATTTTCACATGCATAAGAGGTGACTGAAAATACCATGGCAGGGGTCAGGCACACCTTAGTCCTCAAAGTGACATCTTTGCACCTCAACACTCCAAAGAAGTTTTTAGCAGTAGATTTGTGCAATGTAAGACACCGTTTCATTTTTTTTGACTGCTGTTTCCATGAGCACTGATTATGGATCCAAATAAAATGACATCCTCGACAACTTCATTTTTTTTTTTTTTTCAGTTTTGCAAGTTGTTGCCCAATTAGTCGAGTTGTGAGGATTAGTGGGTTTGTTTGTTTTTTTTTTTAGCATTTCGAAATTTGTTTTAGAAAGAAATAAACTTATGCATTATTTATGTTGGAATTTTTTCAGCTTTGTTTCATCAAAGACAATTCCATCATGATTAAGTTATTTTCCCCTCTTTTCCTTTTCTTCACCACTCTAGAGTATTAAGAAAGTTTTACAAATGCTGTTGCACCTGCTGGATGCTAATTTGAACAAGTAAGTAGAGAAGCAAAATGTCTGCCTGTCACCTACGTTTCCAGGGGTCTCAATGGTTCCTCGCTGTTTGATCAGCAGCCCTACGCTTACTGTCAGAACTGAAGGGTCCTAAATCCATAGACTTTCTCCTCACTTATCAGTTATGTTATATGAGATCTGACCCGCATGACAGGAGTAGAAGACCTATCTACTTTGTGTCCCTCGTGATACTAAGTGCCGAGCTGCTAGACAGAAATACTGTTGGCTGTAATGGTTACGTTTACGTCTTAACGTGACTCGGCCATGACTTTCGGTTATGTAATGATGTAATTTGGCAGGTGTGTAATGATGACATCATCCATTTTGTGATCTGATGTAGTCATGCTCCATTTTTGCGTAACAGCAGTTTTGCTTAGTGACCTGATCTTTAGTGAGAAGGGAATGTAGACATGTGATTTGGGTTCATTTCCTGCTGGTCTTTTCTGTGCGTTTATTTTCACTTAATTTTAAATGATGGCCATCCTGTTGCACATCCGTATTTGTGTTCTGCTTTCCTGTAAGTCAGTCTTCATAAGCTTTTTGCAAGGCAGTCCAGTGTCAAATAGAAATGAGAGCGTAGCATCACAGAATAGGCTGAAATCATTTGCTTCTGTGATTTTGACACCCGGAAGGGACACATCGCAGGCAGCAGGTGGTTTCAGAAGAAATGCTGTGGATGTTGGAGTGCTTTCTTGAGACTCTTGAAGCACTTCCCGTATAACTCACCTGAATGCTGGGATGGGAAGGGTTTGGGTAGTGGTGTGAGATCTCATCCACACAAAGCTCCTTAGACCACTCAGGGACCATGCCTGACCCCACGCCCGGCCCAGTGAGCCCAGCTCCCTGACTCTGCTTCCATGGTGTCAGTCAATGAACAGGAAACCCAGTGAATACTGGTCCTGAGAAATTCTGTGCGAAATGTATATTCTTTTTCTGGCATTTCTTGCTTTTTTTTTTTTTTTTTTTTTCCTTCCTGAATCTTTCTGACTTTTTCTTTCCTTCAAATTGTTGTAATACTTTTATCTGTAGTTCAAAAATTCCTGGAAAATGAAATGAAAAGATAATAGACTTTTTCCACTAGCTTTTTGAAGTCCCTTCGTGTACCTTCAATCTTTTTAAATAAAGGAATGCACTTAGAAATGTTTTCCTTGCTCTTTGCTTTTTAAAGAGCAGTTCAGACTACAAAGGCAAACCAAAGGGACTTTGTTTCCTTTTTGACGTATTCAGAAGTTCAGCTCTGATGGGAAGTTTCCTGATGTTACTTAACATGAGGTTAAATAAATGCTTTTAGTTAAATCAAAACCAAACTGTTGTGCGGGAGATTCCAACGTCAAACAAGCCGATGAGACGGAGCAGAACTGCCCACTCAGTGTTCCTCAGGCAGTGAGACTTATGGGGCAGACTGCCCCATCTTTTTCTTACAGAGCAGTTGGTGGGTTCAAACTCCTGACCTTTTGGATTGCAGTCAAGAATTTTAACCAGTGTGTGACAAGGGTCCCCGTAAATATGTCATTGTTGGTATTTTAAAGGGCATTGATAGTGAACATGTTTTTTCAATTGTCTTTAGTCAGTAATTTCTCTCAACACTTTGTGGGGTAGGATTCCTGAGGAGCCCTTCTCACACTCCTACTTGTCTGTCTGCCTGAAATTTCATGAAACCGTCTGTGAAATCACGAAGGATCCAAAGTTTTATGAGATGTCTGCCTTGTCTGCAGAGATTGTTTGCAGAATCATTGCACTTCAACCTGCGGTGGTAAGTGGAATAGACACACATTGTGTCACACCCAGAAACGCTGTGTGCAGCATGTCACGTTGACTTCATTGACAGGGGAGGTAGGCCAGATAGGCCAGGTCTAGGGTTGCTGGCATGATGCGCTGGGATTGCCTCAGTTATCCAGTCCAGGTACCCAATGGAGAACGTATCAGAGTGACAATGAACTGTGCCTCTTTAATATAGCATTTGTAAAATGCACTAGTGTCATAGCATATGATTTGTTGACCTTATCATTCTCGTGCTAACACCCAAAGATCAGAGTTACAGAGGTACTTATAATAAAAGACAGTAACCGTGAAAAGTGAAGAAATATGGAGGTATTGGAGTTAATTAGAGGTCATCAAACTAGAACCCCTGTCATAAGTCGGGGGCTACCTATGTTCCTCGAGGATCTGTTGGATGCCAGTTCTGCTCTTGGTTTTGAGGACACATAGTGAACAGGGGTCTAAGTTCTTGTCTCCTCAGGGTCCCCTTGGAGGAAGCTATGGTGTGTCTGATGACTATGGGGATAGATAGCTGGGAGGCTCTAGGTTTGCTCTTGATACCAGATGCCCTGGGTAGCCAGAGGGGAGGCCTGAATGTCACTAGGAGCTGGGGCTGGCTAGGTGGGGCTATGGTAGGGGAGAGGCAAGCTCTGGCTTCAGTGGATGTGGGTAGTGGATCCTCAGGGGGCTAGAGGTATTCGATGTGTAATACGATTTGTCAGGAGGAAGGAATGAGTTTGGTCTTAGGTGTGTAGTTTGAGTTGTCCTGAGGAGCTTCCGGGGTCTCTGAGGAGAACACTGAGCAGGACATATGGAAGAACAGCTAAGCCTAGTGAGGACCTGGCTGAGGCTGGCGGCTTAGAGGAAGGGGTGAAGGAAAACACTTGGGATGGTTAGGTAATGATGGGTTGCCAGGTGGCTACCTCAGGAGGTCAGGGCTTCGGGAAGCTGGGCTGAGAAAGTAGCTGGCCTAAGGTCTGAGTATAAGAGGGTCTGTCTAGACTTCAAGGGTGTGGAGTGAGCACAGAGCTCCGATGGGGGGTGGGGGTCAGCGAGAGTGAGAGTGGGTGTGGTTTCAAGGAGGTAGAGGGTCAGGTGATGGGGGATCTGGGCAGTGAGAGCAGAGTGTGGAATGTTAGTGTTTCCAGGTGACACCATGGCCCTGTATGTGACCCTGGGTGTTGCTGATACAGACCACTGGACTGAAGATTCCTAGGAGTTCAGGGTCAGGGTGTTATGGCGTCAGCCCCATGGAGTGAGTGGTCACCAGACTTGGTCAGGCCTTGGGTGCAGAGAGGAGGGGCTGAGTGGCAGAGGTCCCTGGAGTGCCGAAGGTGGAGGGATGGCATTGTTGGAAGGGGAGTGTGTGTGGACGTGGGAAGGAGTCTGTTGTGTGTGTCTGTGTCGGCGGGGAGCATGGCCACTGGAGTCCCCACACACTCTCCTCCCCTGGGTTCCAGCTGCTAAAAGCTCTGCACCATTGCGTTGTGATGCTCCCATCCTCGTCCATCTGGAGGAGGCATGACCATTTCCTTCTGCCCGAGTCCATGTTCAGTGGACTTGCTGGTGAGGGAGGGTGAGACATACTTAGGAGATCATGCCACTCTGACTCTCCCTCTGCCTCTACACCTCCCACTTTCATGCTGAAATGGAGGCTGCTTACCACCCTGGAGGGGCTGAAAATATCTTTATATGAGGGGCCTTCAAAAAGTTCATGGGAATATGGAGTTAAATAATAATGGAATTTTCCCACAAACTCTGTGAATTCTGGAAATATTAAAGTGCTTTAAAAATACAGGCTTCTTGCCACACTGAAGAGTCTGAACATGAAGTTATACATGCAACATAAATGTAACTATTCACTGAACATCCTCTGGGTATGTTGGAAAGTCCCAGGAAGCCAGGGTGTATGTAGCGTGTCTTTAAAAATCAGAACCCACTGCACGGAGAGCAATGAAACTTCTCTCTTCTCTGGTTACAGGGCTGGGCAGAAACCCCGCCGCGCAGTGACACCAGAAAGAAGGATCCAGTAACGGCAGTGTTCCAGGGAATTCTCACTGCTACTCAACGTTGGCTTAAACATATTTTTGCCAAAACAATGTTCTGGTATTCATATACATCATATGTCAAATTCGTTTATGATGAGGAAATCAAGGTGAGCAATGATTCGAGCGTCCAAAGTGCTGGAGGTGTTTGAGTCACGATATGCTGGGATGGGTCATGTTCACACCCTAAGTGTCAGGACTAAATGAGGCTCTCTTTCCCACTCCACTGCCCACCAGCTGGGCAAACTGGGCCAGAAATGAGCCTTCCCCTGAGCCTCAATCCCATCTGTCAAACGGGTTCGATGGATCATCTAACAGGTTTGTCTGTGGTTACAGTGAGATCTCAATGTAAAGTGCTTATCCCATTGCCTCCTGCCCTTGTGGTCCCCATGATGGTGGCCTGGCTGTTAAGGAGACCACCAATGGCATGCAGGGTTAGAAGCTAGGTGTGTGATCTTGGGAATGGATGCTCAAGAGACGAGTAAGAGGAAGTGGACAGGACTGCGTCTAGAGGCGATGAAGAGAAAAGTCAAAGCTGACCATGTGTCCCACAGAAGGGTGGGCAGTGTTGGGGGTCCCACCAAGAGGAGTGCTCAGCAGTCTTGTGATGGAGGACTGAGGTGGGGTGTTAGATTTGATGAATGGGGTTTCTTTCTTTGTATCTTAGAAGTTGTGATTACACAAATCTCTTTGAGCTTCTTGGTTGTTGGGTAGACCATAGAATCCACCTAAAATTATCTTTACCCATGATGTGGAATCTCCCAGAGACTCTCAATACATATTAGCCAGTGGCCATGTGCCCTGAGAGATCTCTGGTTTTATGAAGTAGATGTGACCCCTCAAAGTAGGCGATGGTCTTGTTTCTATAAAGCGATGGAGTTTCCCTCAGAAATCTGGGCTGGCGTTGCCTCTGGGACAGGTAGCCTGAGAGGAACGCATTGGCAGCAAAGGCTTTTGCTGACACCATCGCGTAGTGGGTGTGCGTGAGGCAAGTGAGACTATCGGGCTGGTCACATCTTCACTCACATCACAGATCCCTGGTGGCTCTTCCTCCCTGTGTCCACCTGGGGCAGTGCAGTGAGTCTCCCCGACTCTTGAGAAGCTAGAACTAGCTCACAACCACCGTCCAGACTCTTCTGTGTCTGCCGGAACCGGTCTATGTGCTAGGGTCTGTTGTCCACCAAGACAGAAAGTTGTCAGATTCAACCTGGGCCTTTTCTCTCAGTGCTGTGTGGATGAAGTTTCTGATAAACAGACGTCAATACCACCCAAGCAAAAGTGAATTATGACTGTAGGATCCTAAATGGGGTCATTGTGAAAGCATTAAGTATGGGTGAAGGACAGCAGTGGACACACTGAGGTGAGAGAGAGGTTCTCAGTGAGTGTAGTGGTCATGACAACAGTCGTTAAAACATAATTGATCAGAGCTCAACCCGAAGAAGAAAGAAGAGGAACAAAAGTGTAATCGGATACAACTTGATGAACTTGACCTACACCTATGGACACAGTAGCTCAAACGAGGGAACAAATCTTTACAGCAAGGATCATTCCCACCCCCTCCACACACAGAGTAGACAGGGATGGGCAACTTGGACATTGACTACCCAAAACACGGGGGCTACAAAGGCAAGAAGTGACTGGCTTACAGGCTTTCAAGAAGGAATCTAGATCCAGAGGGCACGGAGGAAGATGGACTCTCCACTGAGTAGTATCCAATCTGTCTGGGCAGAGCTGATGAAAGGAGATGGGGATACGTCTCTTGTGGTACAATAGTGAATAATTGTTATCAAGACTGACTGTGAGGGTTGGAAATGTAAAGGTAGTCGTTTTGTAGCAAGGAGGGGAGTGAATAACTTTGCAGTCCAGGAGTGTAGGTCCCCTGGGACCATCAAGGGAGAAGAGCGGAGTCTGGGACCCTACCGAGAGAAGTAGTGATGGCAGAGATGATGATGTGGAGAGATGGAGCAGCTGGGGACTCTAGACACAGAGAGGGAGAGGGGCTGTGTGCTGAAGACCGGGGTGCAGGCTTGTAGTATATATTCCCTTTGGTTGGTTGATGATGCATGGAGGGGATTGTAACCATGGCAATGAAACGATATACGATAGGATGAATATAAAGCTAATATTCTCCCATGTAAACTATCACATAATTCACATTAAAACATTAAAAAACAAAACAAAAAACCAATTGGACGCCCATGTGGAGGGTGGTGCTGTGGAACAGATGAGAACCAAGTTGTGGGTGATGCAGTGTGAGTAGAGGAAATAAGATTTAAGCTCAAGTAAACCGGTCACGGGGCCCAGGTTCTCACCACTGTTCCATTCAGCATAAAGCTTAGAAGAGTCTGGATAACTCAGCACGGTGTTTGTTGGTATGGCCGGCATCTTGGACCGTCGTATGGGGTCATGGTTAGCAATCCCAGAGCATGACAGCTGCAGTTACCGTTCTGCATGGAGCTGTGGAGCTGAAGGCCCTGTGGGCAGGTGTCTGCAAAGAAAACAGAGCAGGGGACTGGGGAGGGAGATGCAGTGAGCATGAAAGAGGAAGAGAGAAAGCAGTTGTGCTGAACATTAACAACCGGTGAATCCAGTTGAGGGTTTATGGGTGATATATATGCTATTCTTGCCGATTTTTTTATAAACTGAAAGATTTTCCAAATAAAAACTGCTGCAGAAGAAACTCTGACTCCCAGGCAGAATGATGGAGATCAGTTAGCGCCCCGCGTTCTCTAAGGCGGAATGATGGGGATCGGTTAGCGCCCCGCGTTCTCTAAGGC